AGAACACACCCGCGACATTGTAGGTCCATGACTGAATTAAAGTACCTATGCCTTATTTTTAGTATTCATATTGTCATCTGATAAAGTCAGGCTGATTGTAAGGTGCACAGTTTTCTCTGATTTCAAAATCTTTCTGTTTGAACCCATCCTGATTTTCTTACTACAATAAACTTCCTAACAAACTAAATATAGTTTTTTAACTACTTAACCAAAATTTATATTTGTATTGAGGTGGAAGAAAACAGACTTGTTAAATAGTTTACTATAACTATAGTGTAACATCTACTGGAAGAATTCCAGGTTCTCCTGATAGAGGAGGGATTTACAGAAAGTTACAGGAAAATACAACCGGAAACTACATGTGACATATGCTATTGGTATCCGATTGGACCCAGAACTTGTTAATTATTGGTAGTATTAATTATGGGGAAAACAAAAGGGCCTGGAATGGTGTAATTTTTACATAACACCATTGTCCTATATATATTACTTATATATAAAGTTGAATTCTTTGACTCATTGTTTTTACGTCATGCCGGCTAACAAATTGTACCTCGTTATTTCAGTAGTATAATAATAATAAGTGAATCGATTAAAGACTGATTAGTATTAACATTACTCATGGACACTTAATTTCTATCATGCTTATACTTGTATGTATCACAAAATGAGTGACATACATGTATATTTCAGTGACAAAACACTTTAGGATAATTATCTCCTTAAAAAATAAGTTTGTTCAAAAGTTTCTCATATTAGTTATATAATTTAAAATGACAGTATATTTTTTTGTGGATTAACAATAGTTCCTTTTCAAACACATGTCAAGATTACAGTTTAATACTTTATTAACATGATAAAGAACAAGACTTTTCTGTAAAATAATTGTTGTGATAAGAGATTAAATTAGATCATTTCTTTAATAACAGTATTTGTTGCTTACCTTATTAATTCCTATAGAAGTTTAACAAGGGTGAACTTTAAAATTAAATCAAACTTTAAGAAGACATGATATTTTTAAACAAAAATTAAATTATTATATAATAAATACTATATATATATATATATATATATATATATATATATATATATTTGGGTTGTTATACATTTTATAATAAAGATATACATTCAACCAACAGGGGCAACACAACTGACTTTCAGTGACATATCAACCAATTGCAAATTCACTTGTTACCAAATAGAAATGCTAGATTCAAGACAAATCATGATACATGAAGCTATACCCTTCAATGAACGTTTTAACCTACTATCAGATAGTGAAAAATTCATATTTTTATTTAATAATGAGAATGTTGCTACTGTCGTTGCCAAAACATGCAACATTATTTTATTGAGCAGAAACAGTATTTTATTTCTATAGTTTTAAAAGAAACAAAATGTTTTACAAACATGTATCATAAATAAAATTTTGTAAATTTTAAATGTAACTGGTGGATCCAGGGGGAGTTTCAACCGCCTTTTTTTTACGATCAATGCTTTTGAATGGGAACATATGGTTGGAACCCCCCCCTTTTAAAAATGGCTTGATCCGCCCCTGAATGTGAATGTGTATAAATTTTTATATATATATATATATATACATGTATTGTGTCTTAAAAGTCTCTCAAAAACCTTTTAAGATTGGTGCATACATGTGTACATTGCAAATGTTTGTTATTCTGTGAATCTTATTATATAAAATTGAGAATGAAAAAAGGGAATGTGTCAAAGGGACAACAACCCAACCAAAGAGCAGAAAACAGGCCATATATGTTTGTATGTGGTGATAAGACTCTAATAAAATATTGAATGTGAATCTGAATCTGCATATAGTTTCAAAAAACATACAAATAATTTAATACCTGATTTAAAAGGAATCATTGAAAAAAATAGACTGAAGTGAATTTCAGCATTATATTCATACATATATATCATACATTTTTTTTTATAAACTTAACATTCTACTTGCAGTCAATGAAGCATGACCAAGATTACAAGCTTCATATTCTCTTGAGAAACTTAAGTGTAGGAAAACAAATGTCCCAAACAAATATACTGTATTTTAATTGTTTGTCATGAATATTAACCACATATAAAACACAAATTATCAGAAACTAGAGGCTCTAAATAAATAAAGAGCCTGTGTCGCTCACCTTCATCTTCAACATTGGCTACTTTTTAGTAAAAATCATCATTAAGGGGAATAACTCTATCAAGAGTTAACTGACAATTTCAGTCATGTTGGCATATTTGTAGAGCTTATCCAGCTGATAATTTTTCCTTTTTAAAGTTTCTATTTATCTATTATAGTTTTCAAGACAAAACTCAAAAAATGCCAAAAAATATTAAAAATAACCATTAAAGGGCAATAATTCCAATATTGAGTAGAATGAAGATTTCGGCAATTTGGCTTGTTTGTGGATCCTGTCTTGCTGATCGTTTGTGCTATTCAAAGTTTCTATCTATCTATTACAGTCTTCAAGATAATAGGCAAAGATGGGAAAAAAATATTAAATGTCAATAACTTCATTAAGGAAACAACTAACAATTTGGGTTCTGTTGACTTATTTGTAGATCTAGTCTTGCTTATCAGTTTTACTTTATGAAGTTTCTATCTATCTAATATATTTTTAAGATATAAGGGAAAAATGTAAAAAAATTGTAAAATCGTCATTATAGAACAATCACCCTGATAAGGAGGCAACTAAATATTTCAGCCATGTTGAACTATTTGTAGATCTTTTCTTGCTGATCATTTTTGCCTTTCAAAGTTTCTGTCTATTATAATTTTCAAGATAATAGGCAAAATTTAAAAAAAATGGTAAAATTCATCATCTAAGGGCAGTAACTCCTACAAGAAGTCGTCTGACATTTTTGACTTAAATGAACAATAGGTAGAGCTCAACATTTTGAACATTTTCTCTTTTCATAGCGGTTTTCAAAATAATAGGCAAAACTTGCATTTTACCCAAATTTTCTAATTTTAGCCATGTCAGCCATCTTGGTTGACAGGCCGGATCATCGGACACATCTTTTTAAACAGATACCCCAATGATGATTGTGGCCAAGTTTGGTTAAATTTGGCCCAGCAGTTTCAGAGGAGACAATATTTGTAAAAGGTAACAGACGACGACGGACAACGGACGCCAAGTGATGAGAAAAGCTCACATGGCCTTTCAGGCCAGGTGAGATAAAAAGTTATATATTTAAGTCACTAAATCATGAGTGAAAGGTTGGTTTTCATACACCGTATGTAATTGAAATGAATGGATGAAGATAAGATACTCATCAAAGTTCAGGAAAGATTTAAATAAACTCTACGTCAAGCCATCCCTTCAGATACACAGGTTTGTTTTTATATTCTGACACCACAAAATTTTAACGAGTTACTGGAAATAAATTTTGTGGTGTAAAAATGGACATTAATGTCAAAATGTTATGATGATACACTGACTATTATTAACAAATATTTAGTGTAATGTCATTAAATCACGTCAGTATTTTTAGTGGCCAAAGTAATCAAATTTTTTTGCGAATCCGGGTCCTTTGCCCAAAATCATGTTCACTCCCATTCACCCTCTCTCGTGTTCGCACTCCACACGTTAGCACCCTGGGTCTGTTCGCACCCTTTTTAAAGGTTATGTTTTGAATAATTTTTTAATCATGCTTCAGTTAGCATATAACTGTAAAATAAAGATAATTAGTTTTTTATTGTTTAAAAGTAAAGTGACATTCTAAAAACATAAACAGGTTTTGTCAATTATTTTGACGAAATGTTTATTAGGCGCATAACAATGAGGGTCTGGATGGGTTTATCATAATAGAGCATAGTGGACCAACACTTTAGAAAAATATGCCAAAAATAAAATTACAGGATAATGGGGTGCTAAAATATAAAGAATAAAGAAAAAATTGATAGGAGACAGAAATGAAGGACCCAACATCCATCCCCCTACCATGTTTGGCGTTGTTGTATAATTATCATACTTGTCCAAACAAACACGAATTCAAAGGGGCAAAACTGTTAACAACAATTATCTTTCATGTTTTCCATTCAAAATCTTCATTGTTTTTACTCCTATCAAGATAACTACTTGTATTTTACTTTTAACAAAAGATAGTTGTAACAGCAATCATGATTGCCAAACACATAACAATAAGGCTATGGAAAAATGAATGTTGATGTCCCCTAACATGTGAAAGTAATTAAGACCTGGCAGTCAGGAAAAACTTTTTATTTAATCTTATTTTTTGGTGAAAAATCAGTTTGTTTCTCTATCATGTCTATACAGAGAATTTTGTTGTTAACCTGACAGTAAATTCTTGTTTTACATTCTATCTTGTGGTATGAGCAATGTATACTAAAGGAATGGTAATTGAGCAATGTTGACACACTTTAAGAGATTATCAGACAATTTAAAAAGCATCATTGAAAATTGTCAAAAGAAACCAGAGCAACACTTTTTTTTTCAAAAAAAAAATCGACCCGGAGGAGGAAAACTGACCCGGCAGGGTTAGGGGAAACCAACAGTAATTTTAGCATGGACGAATACCAAATTAGCTTTGTAAATAACAATTCATGATAATCATCAATAATTAACTTTTAATAATCAATCATCTAGTCAACCTAAAAAATATTTAATTTTAAAAATTTACGAAATTTTATTCATGAATATATAAATATTTTGATACATACATCTGAATATACATCTAATAATTCAACCTGTATTTGAATAGAAAAAAAGGGTGCGAATGAAACCAGGGGGCGAACGTGTGGGTGCGAACATGTAGGTTGCGAATGTGTTCTGGGAGCGAACAGACCAGATACCCCGTTTCCTTACTTAAGTAAAAAAGTTCTTTGCTTGTGTCCTGATCTTGATATGGAATGGCAACAGGTTCATTTGCCATTATTAGACCGTCCTTCTAATATGTAGCAATTTTAATATCCAAATACCCCTACTGGCCCTAGATCTACATACATGTCCTTACAATATACTTACATGACCACAGAAAGCTGCTGTTGAGAAAATTTCAATGTATCATGAAGTTATTATTAAAACATTCTTAGCTATTGTCTCTAGAAAGAAACACGTGTAATGACCCCAATAGAAGTAATCAGTTACCCTTTCACCTTTTACGTGATAAATAACACGGATGTCCGAATCACTATACAGTTAATTGCAGTTGTCAACAGTTTCATATACGCAAATTCAATAATTTTGCATAAATATTCGTAGAAATTATGCAGTATAATGCTTAAAAACCAATCATTGTCTTTAAAACATTGGAATCTCTTTTTCTTCTTAATGTTTATTTTGTTACATGGGGGCTGACATCTTGTTTTTACAAATTACACTTTTGATATAAAAGAAACGAATTTTAGTTTCTTCCCATCATCAATTCTTTGTTTTGTCGTTTTTATGAATTAAGCTTTATCATTGATAATATATATGAATGATTCAGTTTGCATTGTGATAATATTGTATTTTTTAGAATTATATAATTGTTTGAACCTGATTAAACTTTTGTTTCGTTTTTGTGAATACATTGTATTTTATGAAAACAGAATTTGATAATTAGAGCATAACTCAATGTTCATCCGGGTTCCTGTCTGTCAAGTAATAATATTCAGCAAGATGGAAGAACGTGTCAACGGCTCGTTACATGTACAGAGATTTTATTGGAAATGGCTAAAATGAACAAGAAGAAATTTAATATAAAGGGCGTGTTCGACGGCATACGATTCTCTGTCGGCGCTCAGCAAAAATCAGAAAATGAGATCGAAGAGACGTTACGAACAGATCACTTTCAAGTTTGCAACGTAAGTTCATCAACATCATTTGCATCTGATTGTACCACCTTTCAAATCATTTTTCTCTCTTATTTCTTTGCCTTCCGTTTATATATATACGTCTTTTTCTTGTTTACAGACTGTAAGACATGGATTTCCTTATCAACCAACAGCAGTAGCATTTGATCCAGTCCAGCATCTTCTTGCTATCGGCACAAAAACAGGCTGGCTCAGATTGTATCCTTAAACTTAAATACTGTTCATGTATTTCATTATTTTTCAAGCATGCTTTTTTGGGATAAGTGCTGTTAGAATATATTTGGATTATTTACTTATAAGGTAATGGAAGGAGAAACAGTTGACATTGAAAAGGTAGGTGGCATTTCATTAAAATATTGACAGTTGTAAAAAAAATCTGATGATAGCATATAGTAGAGGTTTTCGGATCAATATTACAATATGAGTGAAGTACATGAGGCACTAAAGGGTCAACAAAGCCTTGAACTCAATAAATATTTACTATTTTACCATTTATGAACTAATGTTCATCTAATTTAAAATATATGGGATACATGTGTATATTCAAGAGAGTTGCCTTTCAGATTATATTATTTGAATATACATCTAAACACATGTACATGGAGATATTCTTTTTAAAATAGTTGCACTGAAATATTAAAAGTGTAAACCCTTGTCCATGCCAGTTTATTCTTAAATAAGTCACTTATTGTTATCCTGTCAAAATTATAATTGAAGCTTCTTTTCTAAAAAAAAAATAATCAAATATTATCAGCTGATTATAGGCTCATTATCATTGGAATGCTGTTATCATATACATTTATGTCAATATATATATATAACCAGTAATCCAGAAAAAAAATAAATTTAGTCAATACACCTTATCGCTATTCCCGGCTGACCCGAGAATATGTCCCGCTTGAACAATTGACGTCATATAACAATCACTTTTCCATTGTGGCGTCAGATATTTTGTATTGTGACGTCAAAATTTTATGGGAACCTGTCTGGTATCCAGTAATGGCGGACAAATAGCGATAAAGTGTATATACATGTACATCATGTAATACAAATTTGTCAATGTTACTGGGGCATCAGTTGTCATCTTATATATAATTAGTACAATCTAAGCCTTTACCTACATGTACATGTACAAAAAATGTATACACACATAAATTTTACTCTCCCTGTAAAACGTGTAAAGCCATGCATTTGATGAGCATGTACTTATTCTAAGAATATGTTACATTCATTTCCCTTTTCTAATTTTAATTGTACAGTCATACATATACTTGTACATGTATGTATGTTTAACAATTACATGTATCATAATCACATGACGATTTGTATTCATTGTAACAGAAGTTTCATCATAGGATTTATAAATTACAACACTGAAGTAATACTATCATTGGGACTTGGGTTTAGTTTCCTGTGAAAGGTTGTGGTTCTTTCTGGGCAATTATCTCAATAATCTCTCCACCAAAAAAAACTGACTGCCACAAAATAGCCAATAGTGATGAAAATGGCATTTTACACCAATCAATCATTAGGTTAAGGCTTGGCAAGTCCAGAAACTTTAAAAAATTTTGATAAGTCTGGAGATCAAAATAAAACTTTTTAGAATTATATCCATGGATGACTAAATAAGCAGATCTAATACAATGTCCATGTACATATTTACAATGACTGCCATTACTTACATACTTTAGTGTTCTGACTACAAATGTGGATGTACAGTTTGTGGAGAGAGGAGTGCAGTCCAGTTTAAGGGGTACTTTATTTTTGTTTCTATAATGTATTAATGTCATGACTAAATTGTAGAATAGGTTTTAGGGGAGTGTTGGGTGTATTCTGTATGTGCACACCCCAAGGTAGTTTACCATGATGTTATGGTCTTCAACTTGTCAACTTTCATGACTTTTTAGTTTAAACTACATATAAGTACTATACCCATGTCTGTTCATTGTGATGTGAACTAAAAAAATATCCAAATAAGGGTTTTGACCCAGATTTCACAGTTCATTGAACTTCAAAATGTGCTAGTGTGTGACTTGTCCTATATACATTGTACATGGACAAGTAAAATCTCTTTTTGTACAGAGTATCTTAGTTAGAATTGAAGATTTTTATCAACTAATTGGTAATTTTTGAATATTTTTCATTTGTTACATGTATTTTAGTTTAAATGCATGTACATGTACATACAATGTAGGTATAGGGGGAGGGTTGAGATCTCACAAAACATTTAACCCCGCCGCATTTTTGCGCCTGTCCCAAGCCTTTGTTAGTCTAGTATGTTTTTAAATTTTAGTTCATTTATATGTTTTGGAGTTTAGTGTGACGTCCATTCTCACTGAACTAGCACACAATTTTAGTTAGGGGCCAGGTGAGGACCACCTCAAGGTGCGGGATTTTCTTGCTGCATTGAAGACCCATTGGTGGCCTTCGGCTGTTGTCTGCTCTTTGGTCGGGTTGTTGTCTCTTTGACATATTCCCCATTTCCATTCTCAATTTTATTTTTATACATGTACCTATTAAGTTAGTATTATCAAACACAAACAAAGTTCAGCTTTCAACACTAGTTGCATCTTGTAATTATATTTTGGGGTTTTTTGCTCTGTACTTGTCAAGTTGAAATTTCCTAGAATTCAATTGATTGATTGTTTTTTGTTTATTGTCCAGAGGCAAATATTTCATACATGTTCAGGATGATAGCAAATTAACAAAACATACAATAGGTCCTGCAATAAGGGTTGACTCGGTTGAAGGGCAGGAAATACATGTATGGACTGCCACTTGAAAAATGAGGGTAAACTACTGCAATGTAAAAAATTACTTCTGACATGTACATGTACTTATATTCATTAAGTTAATCTACCTGAATAATTTGCAAAACTGGATACAATTACCAACCGTTTGCTTATGTTGCATTAATATATATCTAGAGAACCAATATGAGTAACAATTTTCAAGTATTGACGCATACCATGAACATGTACATGTATGTACATTTCATTTCAACTTCTCCCATTTCGACAGCTTGTAGTTGTTCAGCTTTAAATAATTACTAGATGATCATGTGTACATGTACATGTATTAGAGATTTTCATTTATTAATTTTATTCAGATTAAATATTGATGGTTGCAACAATAAAAGTATATTAGTTTGTGGGACGAGTCTGATTGCAGCATTGCATGTTTGAGAAGTATTTTGTAACCGATTTCTTGTCAAGTTAAAACAAATGCATGTAGTGAAATAGAGAATGTTAATTGATTTCTGTAATTCAAAAGAGATTGTAGGACTGCTTGTTCAGCTCATTTGTCTTTGAAGAGACTTAGATTATGCAAAATGGTAGACAATAATATCAGTTTCTTTCTAAAAAAACGTTTCTTCGTATAAACTTAATGTAGTATAAAATAAGTCAATAATTTAATCATGCTTTTTATTGATATTTCCATGTAAATGCTGTTATGATTTTTACGCTGCATTTGTTTGATTTCTGATCCGCCACCCACAAAGGAAGTTGAATACGCATGAATTTGTAGGCTTGTTTAGTTTAAACAATATTTAATTTTCAAAAGTGCACAAATTACAATAATACAATAGAAATATAGGGTTTCAGAAACCTGAACATTTTATCATGTTTATATAGATCACTCTCCCTTAGCCTCGTTTGATCCACCACCATGCCCATAGTCATTTTGAAGCACCTCAACTTCTTTTTTATTTGGCTTTTTAAATTATATTTTATTCAAGCATCACTGATGAGTCTCTTTTTGTAAGTGAAACACATGTATGGCGTACAAAATTATAAGTCTGGTACATGTATCTTCATTCTGTGATGTTTTTTTTTGTCCATTCCAGCCTGGAGACTGTGACAGTGTTGTCTTTTATTATATTCCTTTTGTACATATTCTTGATGTTAGAATTTTTATATTTTCTATTGAAAGATATCCAGATTTATGTTTTAGTTCATTGAGAACTCATATATACATGTACCTATGACATGTATGAGGACACTGTTCTTAAAGCAGTTGGTGCATCTTTCATAATAACCATATTAAATCCAATAGCTTTCAACAAGGTAATTAATCCAATTCTAAAAGTTTAACCAAATTAATGATGCTGCATTAAGAAGCACTTTTCAGTCTATAATATAGTAAATTTTAGCCACAAATGTTTCATTTGAAAGATGCACATGTATATATATTTGAAGTTTAAGTATGTGATTGAAATGTAGTGTGGAGTGCACATTGTTTGGAATTTATTCACAAAGGTACATAATATGTACATGTGTACTTCATATTTTCATGTTAACTCATGTCTTGGTTTCAATTTTATTTAATGAACATTATAAAAGCTTGGAAATACTCTAGCTCTAAGAAATACATTTTATTGAAGAAAACAAATCTTTTAAACTACTGCAGATATGTTTTTAATTGAAAATGTATGTAACCTAAATAAGTACCTTAATCTATATACAAATAGAAATTTTCAATTAAAGAGTTAAATGAGAATTTTTATCAAAATGATCAATAAGAAGATTTAATAATACCCAAGTCTTAGAAGTTACTATGTTTAATTTTAAGTGGGAGACATCTAGATTAAAAGGAGGTGATGGAAGTCAGTGAACTTACCTGGGCTTTCATTTGATTCTTATATCTTACACAAATGGCATAAAGGATGCAGTTAATAAGACCTGTATTAATTAAAGGATTATTGGATGATTAAACCCACTTTTTTTGTTAGTGTTGAAAGTTGTGATTTTTAATGTTTTCGTAATTTTTTAAGTAGCAGTAGACAGGGCATGACTGTACAGGAAAACAAACTGTGTTCTATATTTTCATATATAATACCAATTGTATTTACAAATAATGTTAATTTTTCTTGTCCTGAATATGCCTGAAATATTTGCCACTGTATGTTAAACAAGCTAAAATCAATCAATCATTTATTTTCTATTGGATCAATCTAGTTGTATTATTATTATCATGTGCATCTTTACAGAATTAAACATTTTATTACACAATATTTTCTATTCAGTACATGTATCTTCTGGGTTTTTGTGTTGTTGCTGACACTTAAGATTGCAATATGATCATTGATGTTTCCCTCACATCTGCCTTTATTCATAAAGTTCCATCATGTGTCATTTTTCGATGTTATCGAATCAGTTTAAACAAATGAAATTTTATCAGATATATACTTAAAATGT